CGGGGAGCAGGGATGCTGTGAAGCAGGTAGATAGCACCCGTGTGCCGTCGGGGAAGAGCTTTAGTCTCCTACGGGGTATCTCTGAGGGTAAAGCAGGCTGTGCCTGCTGCTGGGGGGCTCCGGGGAGGAGGGCTGCACCCCAGCGCAGGGGCATGGTGTGAGGAGGTTGGGGCACAGCACCTTTTCTTCTCACCTCTGTCAGAGAAACTCCTCCTTTGGCTTTTTCCTCACGCCCCGTTGTCTTGGATTGCTGTAAGAGTTGCCCTGAAGAGGTGAGGTGTGCTGGGGAAGGATAGGTGGGCATGGCTCTCATCCCTGGCTTCCTCCGAGGTCCCTGAGGGAAAGGCAGGCTTCTGTTCTGTGAGTCACCTGGCCCTGGTGACAAACGTGGGCTGAAGGAATGTCACCACCAGCGCGTCTACTCCTCCTCACTCCCAGGGGAGGTAGTTCAGGTACAGGGGCTTCCTGTGAGGATAGATGAGGTGGGGTGGATCCCACTGAAGATGACCTCCTTCTGAAGGAGTCAGAGAAACGAGGACAGGCGGTTGCCAGCCTTTCCTTCCCACCTGCAGGCAGGGAGGACCTTTCTCCCCTGTGTCCAGCCCAGTGTAGCGCCCCATGCGCCATCGCTCAGAATCATGATGTGACACCGCTGCAGAAGAGATCCCTGAGGACAGTGGACACCCCACAGCTGCATTGAAGAACACATAATGTCGTAATATTTTGAGGGGCACACTTGAAAACAAAGCGTAGTGCAGACACAAATAGGGAAGTAATTGGTGAAGCAGAGAAAGAAGGGAGGGCAGGGTGGATCACCATGGGTCGTGCTCCCAGGTAGCCCTGTGTTGAAATCTTAACTCATCTGCTGATGGATGAGGAGGAGGAATGAATAGGTAAGCTGCAGAGCAGATTGCTGGAAGGTGTTACGAAGTCTGTCATGAGTCATTTTGAAGGGAAGATTGGACATGCACCTGTCAGGACTTAATGAGTCTTGGGGCTCATCTTGATCACCTCTTCTTATCCTGATTTTCTACAATTCCATGAAATCCCGTCCTTGTAAGAATGATTTTCATCATCCGTTTGATACTGTGTATGTGGAATCATCCTTGGAGGTTTTCAGAAGGAAAAAGTGTGAGTAACCTGACGTAATGTTAGTCAGCCCTGCTTTGAGCAGGGGTTTGGACAAGGTGACCTGCAGGGTTCCCTGCCAGCCTGAACTGTTCTGTGTTCCACGGTTTACCAAAATGTGCTAGATAGTATTATTGAGAGCAGTTAGGAACTTTCTTAGGATTAACTTCTCCATTGCATTCTGGAGCTGAAGAACTTGACACACAGGATAAGTGAACTCTTTCACCTCTTCAGTCAACACTTTCTTCAATGATTAAAAATGTAACACTGGCTGACAGCAGCTGAACAATGCATTGAATTGAATCTGGAGGTCTTCATCTTTCTTCTGACCTGAAATGAAGGCTGTTAACATCTCCTTTGCAATCACTGGAAATACCAGACTTTACATAAACCCAAGTATTTGAAGGATGTTTTGATTTGATTTGGTCATTACTTTTGTTCAAGTCCTACAACTTTGGAAGGGAAGGGCCTTGTTTAATTTTTATGCTGGCCCACTGTTGCTAAAATCTAATTTTATTTTATTTTTTTTTAATGGGATAGTATTTTCCTTGGTCTTTTATATTTTTATTACTTTTTTACTAGGGAGAGCTTTACATTGACAATGCAGAGGGTCCCTCTGTGTCCTGGGTGCTACAAAGTGAACGCAAAAAGGCAGTGTCTGTCCCACAGAAGTTACAGTATAGCAGCTTGTGAGATTACTTCTGTGTGATCTGATTCTCCCCTACTCTGTACATTCACAGCAATGTAAAGGCATGGTAAAACAAGGATATAAACTCACTTTGTGTAAACCATGTGAAGTAAGTAGATTACATGCAAGACAGAAGAGAATTAGGCCAAAGTTATTTCTTCATCAGCTTTCTGAAATTTGATTTCTCTCTCCCAAACAACATAGTACTTTTGTCTTGATTTGTCTGCAAGCACTGTCTGAAAAAGGCCATAAGAAGTGCCTTTATTTTGAAGTATTTCGCCACAAAATAGGAGAGAAATTTACATAAGCAGTCATGCTAAAACCAAGGGAAGTACTTCCATGAAAGCAGAATTTTTTTCCTATGTTGCCAGAAGCTGAGATAATGGTGCTATTAATGAGGCCTCCTAAATGTTAGCTTGATATTTTGACTACTGGTTTATTTCAGCAGCGTTAACTGCTATTCCAGAATTTCTCAGAGCAGCAACAACTGAAATATACATGTGCTGGTATTTTCTTGAAATGATTTAAAATGATGGTCTTAAATGGAAAAGTTTCCAAGAACAACTTCCAAACTGCTTGAATCATTAATTGTTTTTATTATTTTTGAACAATGTGCTAATAACTGAGGCCAAGACTTTCAGAAATTATTTCCCAGAGCTCGTCTACCTTAACCCATGTTTAGACATCTGAAGAACTGAATGTGCAAGAAGTAAGATTTAGGAATTTAGTTGACATGTCTGTGTTTGGAAACCAGCATGCAGAAATGTGTGATTTGTACCCTACTTCAGACAATTTCCTTATAACTTTTTAGCCTTGACTTGAGGTTTATGTTGATAAACACACTGTTGAGTTTATTGGTTTTGCCTTCCCTAGATTTATATTAACCATCTTCATACCCAGTGCATTTCATGTGCTGTTGTAACACAAAACAAGGCAGATGAGCACTGTAGAGATGGAAGATAGTTTGTTGACATTAATTTTGCTTGTTTTAATTCATCATTGAAGATAGAATATTTAAAACCAGGTATTTTTTAAAAGCAATATGTTTTCAATTACTGAAATAATAGCTTAGTGTGGAAAACTCTTAAAATTATGCCACTATCCATATGTTCTGCACAAAGGTCCTTTGTAAGGTTGGGTTCTTGGTATCCATTTCATTGACTTGGCCTTCTGTCCATTCTTTGTTCTTTTCATTCTCTATATTTGAAAACAGTACTTTGTATTACGTATCTCCTTACATGCTAAGATCTCGGACTAGTTTCGCAAGTGCACTGACTGCCAGTGTTTCTAAGGTAGGAAGTGTTGTAGCAGCTTAGCATGTTAAGAGGCTGAAATGTTGAGAACCCTAGAGTTACTCAAAGCATGGAAGTACTCCTGTGTGGTGTCTAGAGCAGAACCCAAGGGCTGACTCCCAAGTCATAACTTTAACTGCTGAGCAACACTGATTTTTGGCTTAGATCCTTCTTGGCAGAGATGAAATGATCATTAATCGTAGGCCAGGGCTCTTGAAGGATGCTGATTTTGAATTTTTCAGGACAAACATAAAGTCTGGGCAGAGTTTTGCAGAGAAGAATAAATGGCTTGGGAAAGTACATATGCCTTAACTTTAAACTATCTTAAGTCTTGGAAATAAATTTCCCAGATTTGAACTTGGTTACTACAATACGTTAGAGATTCCTGTAATAGTAGGATGGATAAAGCACTTGCTCCGTGACAGGACCAATGTGATTATGAAAGTACTGGAGTTTGTGTGCCTCTCACATAAGCAGATGAAACTAATTAATGTCATACAAGTTAGCTGTACAGATGGAAAGACACTACTAGTTAGCATCAAATAGATCGGATTTACTAAAGTTAAGACTAAGGATGGATCATGACTTTGTTAAAGAGACAGCCTTCCCTCTTTCATTATTGTAATGATCTAGCAAATTCTGGAGCTGGGCATTATTCTGATTTGTTTCCCATCTCAGGAGCTGTGTCACCAACACAATTCTTTGCTCCTGATGATCCCTCCAAAACAAACCAAGGGAATTCATGTCTTTAAGATAACACAAGTCACTCTGCTCTTTTTCCCACCTGTTTGCTGAGAGGGATGAGCTGGCCGAATGGAGAAATTACAGTGGATCGCTGAATGGGTGTATGCTTCTGCACCAGTTGTTTAGATGAACATGCAGTTGTTTGGGCCAGTTACATCAGCTAGGTTTGGCAGTGTCCCTTTAAGAGTTGCTCAAGACAGTTGAGAGTGAATAATACTGTGTAAATTATCTCATGGAAAGGGGTGCTTTTAATGCACTCTGACATTAGAGAAGTAAAGTGAGCAAGCAGTGGTGTTTGACCCACAGTCCTTAACGTGGTTTGGGTTACTGTAGTCAGCAGGCAGATATTCAGGATTTTTTACATTCCTAATTATGTTGGAAGGAATGGCTGTTAACTGGAGCAGGAGACTGGGAGTCAGCATTTGGCCAGATCATTTTATCACTTTGCTTCCTTATGCCTCAGTTTATCTATCCGTAATAGAAGGAATAATTAGTACATGTTTTGAGATTCTCAATGAATATGATTATGCAAAGTTAAAGACTCACTATTTCTGTTTGATTTGTGTTTTTTGCTACCATCTGTTTACAGTTGTTTATGATTCTTTTTAATATTTTCACTCAGGACTAAAACCATTTGCTTTCTTTCTTTTATTGAAGACTCGGTCTTTGCTCAGTGTATTTGAAGAAGATGCAGGAACCCTTACTGAATATACAAACCAGTTGCTTCAGGCAATGCAACGAGTCTATGGTGCTCAGGTAATTCGTCATTTGTATTTCTTTTGTTCAATGTGGAGTGGAAGATAAATTGTTATTACGATGCTCTTATTTACATGAAAGTTGCCAAGTTCCTCTACCTCTTGTGAGTTAAGATGACTTGTGCAGGTGTTTTCCATCTGATAGCTCGGCCCCTTTCTGCCTTGACGTTCAGAAGAGTCATGCATGAAAAAAATCTAACTTGCTTTGTCTGTCTCCAAACAATTAATGAAAGAAAAATTGTGGTATGTCCTTACCTTATCATACACTGGAAGGCCAGCCTGGACAAAATTGCTTGTCTGAATGTAGACACAATGCACAGATAAGTATTCGTACTGACTTTGGGTATCTAACTTAGATACTGTGACTCGCCATTTGGAAGGAACTGTCTATGTCTGTTGATTAGTGAGAATATGTGCACTTGTAAGTTGTACTGAAGTTGGGTACCTAAAGTAGTCACTGTGAAAAATGCAGGAGCAGAATTAAAGAAACTCACTTTCTAAAGTACTTACATGACCTAGATGACTAAATCCCTTTGAAAGTAAAACTTGCAAGGTAAATTATATCCATTGCTTTGGAAAAATATTATTGAAATCTGTGTGATTTTCAGTGAACCTAAGAACTAAGTATTTCAAATACCCTATCTAGGTCTTTAGTGACACATACTATCTCATAGAATTTATTTTTTGCAGGTATTCATGTAGGTTAAATATCTGAGTTCCTTAGAAACAACAGCATTTCTATTCTTAAACCACTAAATTGGAGGACAAGGAGAGATGGGGAGAAGTAGGGTATTTTGAATTTATTGGAAGACTTAAGTGCCCAATTCATACCAGGAATTAGTTCAGCTATAAAACTGCTGCTAGTGTATGTCCATCTGGTGGGATTGCTCTTTTAAGTCTCTGATAGTTTGACTTGGAAGAGACATCTGTCCAGGATCTAGCTACCTACACCTGGAAGATCCAGCTTTGGAGTGCTTCAGAGTCTTCATGTCCTGTGTCCTGTGCAAGTGCAGAGCAGTCAGAGGCTTACAACTCAGCTTAGATACTTAGAAGACAAGACAGTGCACAGCCAGGGGCTGGAGAGGTGACATGAAATCAGCACTGAAAATCAATGATGGGCATTTTGGTAGAGTCACTGAGCTTTAAGAGTAGGTTTCAGAGTAAGCACATGTTGAATTGTAGAAATCTGAGACCAAAGAGCAGGTAGGATTGAAATAGGTGAAAGAAGGAAATCAGAGGATAAATATGGTTTGATTATGAAGTGTCCAGCTTGTGGACTACATGTCCCTTTCCCCTGCTGATGCCTTTTTAAGATAGCATTTTAGGAAGCAGTTACTCTGGCCTGTGATTTGTGAAAAAATGCTTTGTCTGCTTTTGTTCGCCTCTTCCTTTTCATCTTAGTGTTTAGCCTTCTCCATTCTGTTGGCATGCAGTTATGACATTTCCTGTTTCTTCTCACTATCTCAGCGCATTTACCCATCTGTACTTTGCAGTCCTACTGAGGCTACTTCATATTCCCAGCGCTTCTTGGTCACTTTCTTCCTGCACATTTCCTGCTTTAGTTTGATCCAAATACTCAGTCACTTGTGAATATTGGATGTGTTCCTTGAAATACATCATCACAGTTTGATGCCATTTTGAGACGGAAGGTGCATAGTAGTTGTTCAAAGTCAAGCTTTGTAAGGATGTGGAAGAGGGCACCCTATGCTACCAGTGACTTAGGAAAATTTAGGTTTACTGGCCACTGTTGGGGACTTCACCAATGACAGTGGCTCAACATCTAGTGTTCCTCATGTTGCTGCTTCTGCTGTTTAAGTCTTTGGGAATCACTGTGTCTTGTGACTTCAGTTTGGCTTTGTGTTCTCAGATTCCAGCAGTGGCACAAAAACATCACTGTAGTAACAAGAAAGCATAAGTAGATCATATTAATTATGTAAGTGGGGAAAAAAACCCAGAAACTTTGTGGTGCTTTAAAAAGTCTTGATATTTTTGCATGAGACCTAAAAGAAATACACAGAAATTGGGACAAAATTCTGACTTTTTAAAAAATAAAAATTAAGGGAAATATTTAATTCAGCCATATATATGATGGTTAATTCCCATGATTGGGTTTCTGACTAAGTTTATACAGAGTTTTGCAAATATCAGTCTATCCTTTTCAGGAGCCATTTATGAATATCTCAAAGGAAGACACACTTTCCAACTGAATTAACCCTCAATTTTTGAGAGGCACATACTTTATGATTGCACTTGCTGTAGAAAGAGAAGTGTTTTGGTGAATTGCACACTGAACATCAAAGGAGAGTTAAGAAAAATCTGTATATAGTATTTCTTTGCTGCCTAATTACAACCTGAAAGAAAATCAACTTCTGCTGATGATTTTGTGTTGGTAGGAGACACGTTGTCTGGGCCTCAACAGCAGCATATTAGGAAATACTTGCTACCGACCTTCTTCATTTTGAGAGAGGGCAAGATTTAGTAGAGAGAGCGTAAAAGTTGATAGTATTGAGAAGCCAGGTTCTGAATCTGTCTTTTTAATTTCCTGACTTAAATTTTGTCTTTGCAAAGTCATTGTCATGCCCTGCTCTAATTTCTGTACCCGTAAAATAGGAAATCCAGTTACTGACCTACTTTGAATCAGTGGCTGTAAAAATGACTGGAATCACAGTCATTGTAGTCAGACAAAACACCAGTGGGTTATACCAGTCCACAGTAATGAAAAATTGGGGTTTATGCCCCTCCCAAACAGTGATGACAGTTTAAAAAACATTAATCTTATTTTCTTCCTAACTACATTCTTAACTTTAAAATTTCCCAGATGTCTCAACCATATTTTCAAGCTTTTCTGGGGTAGTTTACCAGAAGTTTAGTGTTTCTTGTGATGAAAACTCAGATTTTCATGTAATTCAAGCCACTGTAGCTTTGGATCAAATGACAGTAGCTGATGGTTCTGAACGGGTGCAGTGAAAGGGGAATAGCAATTAGTATCAGCTGCATGCTGTTAATTATCCATGTGGATATATGCATATATTTGTCCCAAAACACTGCTTTCTGTGCAGAGCAGCAGCAAGCTTGCAAGTTGACAGCTGAAGCTGCTCTGAACACTTGGATCAGCGCCTTTGAAAGGAATGTGAGAAAGAGAAACTTCCACAGAGCTTTTAAAAAGAGCTTAGGCAAGTAGGAATCTTTCTGAACGTTCCTTTCCCCCCAACCCCACCCCTTTTTTTAAGCTGCAGGTTTCTGCTAGGTGCCGGGGACCTAACTTCTCAGATTTGCATGTATTCGAGCAGGACTTCATTTTGCATGCCTCTAACTTTTCTAATGAGAGTAGGGCAATTAAGGAGAAGTCACAGGATCCAAATGTATGAGCTGTGCTCGAGGTGTGAGGTTTGATTGATCTGGCAAGCCTATGTGTGTAAATACAGTGCAGCATTTTTATATGTCTTCATCAAATAAACCACGTCCGTGCGAGTACGTATTGTACTTCCTGTTGTAGTTCTCCCATCTGTGCTGTGGTTCCCTGAGGTAGTTATCACTTTAGTGGTCTTACAGAGTAAATCCGCCTTACAGAGTTTATTCCTGTAGTTCTTCTTCCTTGCAAGCAAACCCTGATGGTGCATCTGGCATTACTGCTGTCTGATTTCTGTGAATGATGCATTCATTGTTCTTGACATTTTATTACCTGAGAATATGGAATGCAGCAAGCAGAGACTGATAGAAAACTTCATCTACTTAAGTTGCATGTTGAGGCTTTTGCAATGATGCGTGAGCAAAGTGTGTCCAGTTCACATTCCTGACTTCCCACTGCCATAGAAAACTATTTTCAGAGCTTTACCATCATCTCCAGTTCTCCATCGTACTATAGAAGTGGCTCAGCTGGGATCTCCAGTTGAAGTAAAATGCTGTTTGGAAACTCAAGAGATTGTTTTGTCGCTACTGACTATTAGAAGGGATTAGAGACTATTAGAAAGGATAAACAGGTTAGAGAGAAATAAGATGAGGTATTTTGTCATTGGAAAGAGGTTTCACCTCATGGTTCCTGACAAACCTGTCCAGATACTAGGAGCAGTGATGGCAGAAGAGGAATAAAAAGAAATCCATGTTGTCTTTACCTCTATATCCAGAGAGAGAACAGCATGGGAATTGTGAAGTGTAATTCTGTTCAGCATATTTGTCTCTGTGAGCAGTTGTCTTGTGATTCCAGAGTCACAGGGGCAAAGCAGCAACAGCCTCTGGGGCTCACTGCCTTTTTGTATCCAGATTTCCAAGGAAACTCTTTACAACTGTGGAATAGTCTTGGGCAATATGCACCACATTACACGGGTATCAGGACAGCTTGAATCTGTCCAGGACTGTTTTAGGTGGTGATTGCCACCAGTGTTACTTCTCTTCCCAAATTCACACCACCTCATGTCTGCATTTTTTTCAGCAGTGCTGCTTGTTTCATCTTTCCGTGTATCGACTTCCCTAAGGCTGTAACTCAGTAGATAGGTGTCAAGGTCTCTAGGGCACACATGGATTTATGTACTTACTATGTTGCATAGCTAACCCCAAGTGTTCAGAATTCTTCAATTAGTTCCTGCTAAACTAACAAGTAAATACTGATAGCTTTCTTTTCACATCTGAGGGAACAATCGTATTGCCTTCTCACATTATAAGACTTTTTCACAAAACCTTATGAAACAATACATTTTAAGTTAACATTTTTGTGATCTTTCAGTTTCACATAGAGAAGCTTCAATAGAGTATTAGATAGGAAAAACACCTGCAATTAGTTGTCAGTGCTGACTTCTCTGAAATACTGTATATATTACTGTTACATATCCATTGTAATTTTGCACCATATACCTTTGCACTTCCTGAGGTGTATTCACCATATGTTGCTAATAGAGGTAAGCAGAGCATTATCACATGAGAACTAATGTATTTACAAGGCCATGGGAGTTGTTTTTAATACTGGTGATGAAGTTGTCACCATGCCTAGAATTGGGTTTACATTGCGCTAAGCAGCATCTGGAGATTTGAGTACTACAAGGAGGTGTAAATGTTTGGATGCTCTGCTGTTAGTAACTGTTTTGCAGGAAACTCGAGAGATTCTTTCCCTAAAAAATTTCCCTACTGAAGCAGCCATCCTACTATAGCTGCTTTTGCTGTTTTACAGCAGAGTTTTGACTAGTATCTTCTATTTCTCAAAGCTCTTAGATGATCCTTTGCTGAATTGTTCACATTTGTGAGGACTGAATACCATGCTGTGAATCAGCAGCAGGGCAAGCCATATGTTAGCTTCATCTTGTGAAGTGCTGGGCAGCCTGAGCACCCTGGTGAGGCTTAGCTTCTCTCGACCTTGGGTTCATGTTTCCAAGCCATTTAATATGCAAACCTAAGCCTGTAGGACTATAACATTTACTAGATTGCTGGAGAATTCTATGACACACGTGTGTAGGTAAGCTGCATAAAACTGTTGTATCAAGACCCATTTTTTTCTGTGCTGTGCGTGGTTTTGAAGGGAAACATGTTCCCTACTTCTGGAAGGATAAGAAGGCTGCAACTGTCTCATGGACCTCCTCTTTGAACCACCTGCTTGTTTTCTTATTTATGAGTTTTAGCTTTCCCAGATGCAAGCCAAATTTTATTACATATCATTGTGCACATACAATACATGAATAAATACCTTTACCGGTATCTTGCTTGTTTACATGAAGACAGCTTTGGCAGTTCTGTGTGCTGGTTACTAGCAGAGCTTTTAAAATGCCAGCTTCAGCCAGAGTAGGAAAGTAGGTTTGCAGAAAGCTTCATTATATTGGGATTGGAAATGGACATACTAGGATAGTTCTCTGCCTTCAGATGTTAATTTATAGGCTCAACTTAATCCTTTACGTGCTCTCAAATCTGGAGTCTGTTAGATGACTGGCTGCAGAAATATCTTTGGACTTAAGTGTACTAGCCCTCAGTTTATTTTGGAAAAATATAAAGAGAGACCCAAAAAAGGGATAGACTGCCTCCCTGATAAATGGTTAATATCATGGAAATTTTATTACAAACAGGTTACAGAAAAATTATACTCTATGCTGATGATACGAACAGCTTGGTGAATAAAGGTTATAATGATAAAGGTGAAATCAGCCCAGAAAAATCACATGTCTTTGCTCTGGCACTAGATCAGAAAGTAACAGTTGGACATTTTCTTTCTGGGTTATCTGGAGTCAGGGTAAGGTATTGAACTTGAGCATTAAGCAACATGTTTTAATATGTTGGTTTTTCCTTTCTGGTAGATTAATGCTAGATTCAAGACGCCACTTCCATTACTTTATCTGTATGAAGTGGTGTTGGTGAACTTTATAAAAATCTGTCCTTAGGGCTAGGTTAAAAAAGAAAAAGAAGAAAAGTCAGCACATCTGTAATCATAACTGATTGCTTGATACCTATTTGCATACAATCCTCCCTTCCTTTTGGTATATTTTTTTGCAGTAATGCTGCAGCAGTGTTTTCACTGTTAGATAAAATCATCTGATGAAAATGAACGTATTTGCATGGCCCAGTGCTGGTTAATTTTGCCTTCATTTAGAGTACTTGGATTTCTGTTCAGGATTTTACTGAGTTTCTGCCTGATACATCATCTCCTCAGCAGCTCTCCTGCTGCATAAATGCTTGATGAATTCTGAAGTGTTAAGATAATGTGGAAGAGATGTGGAGCAGGCAGTCAGGTTTGCATTAGAGCTTTCCTTTTGCTATGGTATACTGAATTTCAGTCACTTCAGAACAAAAGAATTGAATGTTGCTGTATTCTGTGGGAAAATGGCTTGGAAATAGATTAAAACCTGTTAAAATAATTTGCCTAGATTAAATGGATCTGTCAATTGAAGCAATGCAAATAACTTTTAAGTCTTGGGACTGATTAGTCGTGGGGGGGAGGGGAGAAAGCTGATTAGGAAGAAACGAGAGGAGGATTAAACCAAACTTTCCCAGATTTCCCAGTGTGCTTAGCAGTGCAGTATTACTATTAGGTCAGCAGAGCACTTTGCCTGCTTCCTGTTCCTTATGCAATCTGTCTGTGTTTCAGCTTGCTAGCTTAATCTGATTTGTTTACAGCTGTTTGGTATGTGCGCTTGGTTTTTGTTTTGTTTTGTGTGTTTTCCTAGTGATAGAATGAATGATTTTGTACTTCTAAGCAGAGGCTGGAGGGAGGGTGAAGGACCCAGATTAACTCTTCCACATTGGCAGGGATTGAGTAACAAGTTTGTTTGTAGTGTTCTGTCACAAAGAACCGAGCCTTTAAATGAAAAACGTGACCTTTTGGCATCAGTGGGGATACCAGTGATGTGTGGAGCTGTTGTCCCAAAATCAGCCCAAAATCCCGAAGTAAATTTTGTGTCAGGCCCTTCCATCAATTTGTTCTGTACCCAGACTAGCTTTGAATGTCTTCTTAGGGTCTACATGTGACTGTTGCCACCTGATCATACACTTGATATGATGTTGTTAACTTACCCCTTTGAGACATCAGGGTTTGTGTATTCTCCATCATCCTGTCACATACTGCAGACTGCTCCTGGCAAGTGGTGATCGCTTCTTCCACATGCCTCTTTGCATTGCCCATCTTTGAACCATCCCACACAGATGAGTAATGATGCTCTTTGTTACTCCCTGGATAACGGGTGAGGAAATTGAGGATCTGGTAGTCTTTAAAAGCCAAATTGGTATGAGCTTTGAGAATGGCTAACACAAAGGAAGAGGATGCATTTGGTGTCAGCCCATTATTGTGAATCTTCTTTTAGTGTTAACAAGCTTAAAGCAGAAGCATTTATTTTCCAGATTCAGAACAGAACCACACAGTTGCAGACTTTAAGGAATAAGTCAACTGAAACAAAAACAGAAAAAAAGAGGCATGTTTTTAATACTTTATTTCAAAAGGTTGCTCTCGCCTTCACCCAGCTGTACAACTGACAGGTGGCTTCACAGTTGCTGTGTGAAGACTTGGTCTTCTTGCAGGCCTTACTCAGCTCTATCTTTGAGGTTGTGTTTATGAAAAAGATCCCAGGTCTGAGAACCTCTGCTTATTTCTGTGATATTAAATTCATCTTCAGACTCCACCCACATGCATACAAACAAACAAGCCCTTTGAATGTCATCTGTCCACATGCAAAGAGCCTCATCCTTCCTGTCATCAGGTCATTGCTTGCTAGCTCCCACTTTGAAGGTGGTGAAGTCTCTCAGGTGTTCTTATAGCCTGGAGGCAGATAGGCAAGGCACATTCCTATCCTTGCCTGAGCCATTAACAAGGTTTGTTACTTTATTATAAGGCACAGCATCCTTTTCCATCCACAGGCTTGGGAAACACTTTAATGCCAAGTGTATGTGTAAAGCTTTTTCACATTAAAAGCTACATAATCTGCATAACAAACTTGCAAATCTTACATGAATCCTTGGCATTATTATTGTATGAAAGTGTAATGCTCATTACTAATTGATCCAAGACAAGAAACAAGACTAATCCATCACTGTGAAGTGAGAATAGTCATGGGGTGTGCATGGTCTGAGCTTGGACCCAGATTAACTTGGTTCTGAGCCCTGGTTTGTACCTTGGAAGGCCTTTGCTCTCCCATGTCCAGCCGCCTGTGAGTATTATCACCATAGAGTTTTAAGATGGTCAGAATGAGCTCACTTGCCTTTTCCAGCCCTGTGTTCACATACAGCTGCTGTTACCTAGGCTGTGGCTATGTCTCTGTTTTTTCTGAGCACTTGGGCTGACTTAAGACTTTGGCTAAATGTTTAGGCCTTGCTCTTTATATTAACCCTTCTTCCTGGCATGCCGAGGTGGTGCAGAAGCACCAGGCTGAAATGCAGTATGTCAGAGGTGGCTTCAGGCCAAAGTAAAGAGTGTTTCAGAATCTCTGGCCCAGATAGCTAACTGTGCCATGCTACACTTGCTCAGGATGACAAGGGACAATAAGAGAGCACACAAACTCTGTCCCAGTTTTAATGGTTTTCTGTGCCAGCCCCAGCATAAAAGGTGCTATAAAAGCAGCTCAGAGATTGCTCCGAGTTATACAGACACCTAATGGCCTTATATATTTGGAGAGAGGAATAGATCATATTAAGATTTAGAAGTAAATTAAAAGTTATTAGTTTTGTGGATTACTGTGGAAGAAAAGGATCTGACAGAGGTTAAGACAGATCCCAGTTCTCCCCTTCCCATTTTTCTTTTATTCCTGTTTTAAGTGATTGTTAACAAATTGGGGACAGAGCAATTGACATACTAATGTTAGGAATACACTGATTTAAAGATTGGCATATCCAAATCCTTGTCAGTTTTTTTTCTAGCTCTCAAGCAAAATTAAATGCCCTCCCTACAAGTCCTTGCTTTGCATAAGCACATCTTGAGGATGTGTGTATTTTCATTGGCAAGTTTAGCCATGACATTACAGAACTATGTGCTGTTATGTAGTCCTGTATCAACTTAAAACACTGTCATTACATCAGTGGATTCCCTGAACACATCTTCTTTTTCTCTTTATTGCTGTAGATTTGGGGGAAAGTTGGTTAACCAACATGAAACATTTCTTATGCTGCTGTGACAGCTGACATGTGTGAGGTTGTTCTAGTTTTATTATTTTGGCAGGTGGGGGGAAACCCAATACTAAACCTCAAATCCTACCTCTAAATGAAGAAATTGAACCGAAATTGTGTGTTGGTTAGGTCTGAAACATACGTGTTGCTACTGCTTCTCTATGCAGGTGTTTTGGGACTAGTTGTTTTCATACAACTGAATGCTTGTGTAAGTGGTTGCAGATTGAGTCAGGAAGCTGGTAACAAAGTAGTAGTTACAGCAGAGCTAAAGACCTTTCATTATTTCTACTAACATGTCACTTTTGTTTGTAGAATGAAATGTGTCTTGCCACGCAACAGCTTTCGAAGCAGCTCCTTGCCTATGAAAAGCAGGTATGTTCAACATCCAACTAATTTCTTTTCTGCCTCAGCACTTGCAAAGAAGTCTGTGCAAATAGTGTGGTTTCCAGAAGTGCTTAGGGTGTTTGCTTTACTTGGTTTCATGTGCAGGTGGCTGTAAAATTCCCCAGGATGTTCAGGGGAGTTTGGGCACTTCTGAGAATATAAAAAAAAAAAAAGGTGTAAAATGTGAGTTAATTTGTGAAATTGCAAACCAGTTTGTTCCTGTTGTGTGACTGTGACTTTAAAATTAGTATAATAAGGATTAATTATGTTGTCCAAAATCCATTCATTTAAAACAAGAGGAGCAGGGTGGAAGAATATGTATTTATGAGTTACTGGTTTTCCATGTAGTTTCATCATTTTTTTGCATTTTGTAGGAGTATTCATTACCCTTGTAGTAAAACACATGTTGTATTTTATACTCACTTTATTGATTTATGGACCAAATGTGTGTTTCTATTCTCAGCATTTTGCCTTAGGTAAAGGAGATGAAGAAGTGATATCCACCCTTCATTACTTTTCAAAAGTTGTGGATGAGGTAATTTGAATTGCCAATATTCTATTTCTACAACATAGAATACTAGTGGGTTTTCTTTTGGTCTTTGTCATTTTGCTTCTGAGCCTTTCCACTGAAGGCTAGATTGTGCTTGGTTTTTCTAGAATCATCTAATTTAGGATAAAGAAGTTTAATATCACCCTTCTATAATGGTAAGATGTGTTTCTGTGTCTTTGTCCCACATGCTGTCCTCAGAGCAAAGGTGAACTTCTTAAATAGGGAAATGAGAAAAGAGGCTGAAACAGGACATGTCATCTAGGCTGGGGCCATTTCTTATTTAATTCAATTTTAAAATGACATTTATATATTTAAGTTTAAACCACTGCAGTTTGAGACAAAGCTTGCCAAGGATGGGTGCAGGGCAGCGGTGATTTAGTAAAGTTGCAATTTAGTTGCTGTGAGATAATGAAGAACACTGAGGTGTTTGGGGAAGGCTGCAGGAAGTTAGGTCCTACAGCTGTGTGCACCCAACTTTTCTGCTCCCTGTAGGTTGCTGCCAAGTACTGGGAGTCTTCCTAAATGCTTTTGTTAGACCTGCATCTATAACATTTCAATATAATCTTAGTATCTAGCTCTTTATTTCTTAAGTATCATTTGTCACATCACTCCTGTTGTGAGCAGGGCCGTGCCACCAGAAAAGTGTTGCTGTTCTTGTTAGTCTACTTTCAATTTGCATAAGAAGGCAAAAGGCTGTAGAGGAGGAGGTAGGGTTGTGAGGCAAAAAGTAAGTTAAAAATTGTAGAGCCCATGGGTAATTCTCAACAATATAGTGAGAAGAATCCCTGAGACTTCTTCCACTGCACATGGGCTCTTTCCAAATGCTTGGAAAGAGCATTTGTTGTCACAAGTCTTGTACTTGTCTGTGTGAACTATGAATACGTCAAAACAAGAACTTTCTCCTTCTCGGGCACAGAAGAACCATCCCATTTGGGAGCAGAAAGCTGAGAGCCTCTCTGTTCGGTTCTATTAGTCACATTTTCCCTCAACAAGAATCTACTCCATTCCTCAGCCTCCTTTTTCTGTGTGTTAGCTGCCCACTGTACCTGTTTTCAGTTTTCTGTTCTACAGGCACTGAATTTCCCTCGTTTAGTTTTGTATCATCTAGTGGGAAATACTGGCTTCATCCTTATCGTTATAACCCTGCCTAGAGGTCTCCAGGATACTGTGAGCAGCAGAATATCATGTCAGCCTGTGGCACGCTCCTAGTTATGAGGTGCTCTAGCAACGTGATTGTTAGTTATCCTACCTGAACCCATGTAATGTTCTTTGCAAGCCACTGCTGATGTGAGAGCCTTGCCTTCATCCTAAGCAGTGTCACACGGGTGCTTTAAAATATGTCTCAATGTATTGAATTTTAGAGAAAAACACTTGCAAAAACAGGAACAGAAAACTGCTCTAAAGATGAAATATTTGGGATCTTGCATTGTGGTTGCTCCCTGTTGTGATTGTGTCCTGGGTAACTCATGAATGGAAAGAGATTCTAGTCATGGCAGTGGGATTGTAACTCTGTGGTATGAAGACTAGCAAAAACTGGTTAACAAAGGCTATTTAAAGATTAAATCCTGTTGGGTTAAGCATCAGAATTAATGGCCAAGTGAACTGCCCTAATGCAGTATGTAAGAACTGAGAAGTTCTTGGAAACTTGGAAAATACTAGGCAGGAATTAAGCATTTAGGGGAAAATCCCCATCTCTCTTGAAGATCTTGAGAGATGTGTTTTAAGCACTGAAGTACATTGGAAGCACATTATATCCTTTCTTTTTCTGCTGGGCACAAGTGGCAGGCTGTAGAAGGCTGTTGATTTTTTTAATTACACTATTTTTAATTACTTACACTATGTCTTAGAGCATTCTTCTGTTTGCTGTTTCAGCTCAATATTCTTCATTCTGAACTGGCAAAACAGCTTGCAGATACAATGGTTCTCCCAATAATACAATTTCGGGAGAAAGATCTCACAGGTAAATTTTATTCTAAGTTGTAATTTTCCTCGTGTGTTCTTTCTTGCTTATTTCATACTGAACTGAGACATAATGCCATGTAATCATTTGTTCTATGATGAGCAGAAAAGTTTTGGTGTTACTTTTTATTTTCTGCTTCAGAATTTCTTTGATGGGTGCGTGCTTTTACTCAGGTATAAACAGTACAAGTTCCCCACATTTTCTGTGCCATACAGTGCAAGTTTGAAAATACACAGCTTTGTTCTTTGCTGGGTCACTCTGCTTTTACACTAGTGTAATTTCATTGAAGTTGTTGGTGTTCTAATTGCCTAAAGAAGGGAAATTCAGCAGGGCATCTGCTTGCAAACAGTGTTTGTCTGGCTTCAGAAGTTTGGGTTTGTTTGAGAAATACAAACAAGAATGGTTTTTTTTTAACTTCAGAGGATAGTCTATTCCTGTCCTTTTAAGGAATCGGTTGTCTTTAAATCCTGGCCAACCAAGGGTAATTCCATGTAACCTGACTGCACAAACTTGGAAATTCATACAGCAAAGCAATAATGCAAACATGCGGTGTAATTTGAAAAGAAAACGAGTTCATATTCAAGGTCAAAGACACTCTAACCTATACGTGCAACAGAAACATGAGTTTTAAAGGCTTTGCTGTAGTTTTTTGGGTTTGTTTTGTGTTTGCCTTTTTTTAAGCCCACTTCTTATCTTGCTAATCTCAGTTCTGCTTATGTACTTCTTAAAGACATCATTTTGATGGAAGACAAAACAACTACAGCAGAATAATGACTGGCTTAGGTTCCTTGGATCACAGCATCTCATTTGGAATTGTGGAGACATCAAGGTGTCTCTATTAATGGCTATCTTGTTTATCATAAAATGTCAAATATAAAGCAGGATTTGGATGGTAAGATCTTGGGTCTATAAATACTTCCCCACATCTTTAATGTGGCTGCACTGATATAGTGATTATGCTCCCAAGTTTCTGATTCTGCCCCCTGGTTAATATAAGAAGACATAAAAAGAACATATGCAAGTGAAACCTGCCTCCGAAGCCTCAGCTGCTTCATGACAAAAGATGAAACTTTCCTCAGCTTCCCCGGATGGCAGGTCTTTTTTTGTTCTATCCATCCATCACAACCTCCTCCTTTCTCTGACACCGTCTGTAGAACATCATTTTTAGTAGAGGCCTGGTGATATTAAAATTTCATCATAGGATTAAACAAGGAAGGCAGGAAGATTAACAGTGTTCTTGTTTTTACTTCTGGTCTGGTTATGTCTGTGTATTGAATTCTGTAGAAACACCTAGGTACAAGTTAGTCACTCCTGGAAAGAATTTCTGTCTTTCTGCATCAGAGTCATGAGGCAGTGTTCTGGGGAGAAAAAGGGAGGAGTGAAGGTGAATAATGAGTAGGCTGTGGCAAATAATCAGAGACCCTGGTCACATCCTAAAATTTCCCCTTTTTCTTCTCACAGTTGCAGAATGTCTGCTCTTGTGAATGTGCTTTTTTTTTGTAGCTTTTTGAGAAGGGCTTTGCCAGTTGCAGCATACATACGGGCACTGGGAGAGCTTGTGCCCAACACTTGTGAAAGTTGAGTTACCTGTATCAGAGACTCAGGGTCTGCAATGTGAGCATCAAAGCCAGCAGTCAGATGTGTTAGATACATGTTTCTTTCCACAGAGGAATTTAGCAAAATATGTTCCATGTTGATGAAGATGTACAGGAAAAGTGCTTAGTTCATGTGTCTCTGGGACAGTAGATTGCCCGGTACCACGTAAGCATTGTCAGGGAGATGTTTAGAACTGCCACTCTTTTATGATAGCGGTGGGCCTTTTGTTGTAACAAACATACTGAAATGGTGCTGCTTTGGCTAAATTTCACTGGCAGATAAGGAATCTTTTTCATAGTGATAACTTGCTCAAATCAGGTGAACTCACTTGGCTCTTACTTTGCTATCTGCCTATTCATTTCTCTACCAGCTGAATTGGTTTATCATTTTCAAGACAGGAACAACCTGTGCATCTCTGCTGTGAAAGAACTGGAGTGATTTAGGCATTAAATGTGTCACAAATGGTCTCAGTGGAACAAGGTTTTTACAGCTGGTTTTACTTTGAATATTTGATTTCTCTTTTCCAGAAGTAAGCACATTGAAGGATCTTTTTGGCCTTGCTAGCAATGGTATGTTTCCCTGTTTTGTTTGTTTCTAATGGTGGGCACCTGTTATATCACAGAAAACATTTGAAATTGCACACACGCACATCACATTTCTAAAAAAATAATATTCCTTGTCTACAGAACATGACGTGTCCATGGCAAAGTATAGCAGGTTACCGAAAAGGAAAGAAAATGAAAAGGTAATGAACATGAAAGGGAAGAGGAAAAGTTTCCATCAGCCATTCTGCCTGCATCATTGTTCCCTTGGGCACTTCAGAGAGTTCATCAGTTAAATTCACAGTAGTTCAAGAGTACTTGTGATTTTGTTTCCAAGCAGACACAAAGCTTTTAAACCTCAATTTAGCAAAGTTATGCCTGTTTTCTCCAAGTTAAGCAATGATCAAGTATTGTGCTGAACTAGAGCCCTTCAGATCTAGGGGAGGTCTTCAGACAGAGGCAATCCAAATGGCTATAAATAGATTTGTGTAGGCCTACTGTTGTATAGCACATGTGGTGATGCTGTATCTCTGGGTATAATTCATTGTGAACTGTCATGAAGCCTTGTGTCTGCTGCTTATAAAGCATTCCATTTTTTCCCTTCTGCCTTCCTGCTAAAATTTTCTGTGTCAATTGTCATTCTGCTTACAGTACGTAATTCTGTTGGTGGCATTGTTTTACATTTCTTCTTCTTTGCCCACTGAACTGCCATTCCAAAACATACCTCTGTATGCCAAAGAGTGTGTGATTGGTTCTGTCCTAAGAGTGCATCAGTTCTACATAGAATCATAGAATAGTTTGGGTTGGAAAGGACCTTAAGATCACCTAGTTCCAACCCCCCTGCCGTGAGCAGGGACACCACACACTAAACTATGTTGCCCAAGGCTCTGTCCAACCTGGCCTTGAACATCGCCAGAGTTGGAACAGCTTCCTTGGGCAACCTATTCCAGTGCCTCACCACCCTCACTGTAAGGAACTTCTTCCTTATATCTAATCTAAACTTCCCCTGTTTTAAGTTTAAAGCCATTACCCCTTGTCCTACCACATGGTGGTCCTTGATCTAGCATATTGTGAACCATTCATCCCTGAATTCTGCACTTACAGGCTTGCGTTATGATCTCTGATGCAAATAGATCCATTGCACTGAGATCAGATCCAGAATTTTAGTTGTGATAGTTACATAGTTTCTAGTCACAGGGACTCCCCAGATGCTTAAGTATCTTGCCAGAGAAGGGCTTGAAGTACTTCCTTTGGGTTTTGGATTTACTTTCTTAGTTTCTCCTCCACCGTTTTATTGTGGAGAAGTCCTGTTATGAGAGTTGTTTAAAGATAACTTGAAAATAATCTGTAAATGTATCCATATGCACAATAACACTGTGTCAACCTTGTTACCAATTTTTATTCAGCTTAAGGCAGAAGTGGCAAAAGAAGTGGCAAATGCAAGAAGAAAGCAGCACCTTTCATCTCTGCAATATTACTGTGCCCTGAATGCTCTGCAGTACAGGAAGAGAGTGGCAATGATGGAACCTATGCTAGGATATACACGAGGACAGGTATGGGCAATAGAGTGTCTGTATCTCTTGGACACCTCCCTGGGAAGAGTAAAACATTGTAGCCCTGGAATTTTATTTTTTCTTCTTTTGAGAACTGACAAATTGTAACAGGGGAGGTAAAAACATTTATTCAGCTTGCCTAGATTCTAACAACTGATTTTGTTTGTGGCAGACAGTCGAATACTTAGATATTCAGGAAAGACACCAATGAAAACAAACCCAGTACACTTAAATACAGGATCAGCCTGGGCTTAGTTTTTTTTCACAGCTAAGCTATCAGTGCAGCAGCATTTACTTCCACTGTTTACTCTGCACAAGCTCTCCTATGTAGCAGTTCCTTTCCTGGCACATTATGTTCAGCATACTGATGAGGAGTGTACACGGTAGGGAACAGAGCATGCTCTGGAGAACTGGAACGACAGAACAGTAGAGTGGATTGAGTATAAGGCTGGCAAATCCTCTTTCTAATCTTTATTCTGCCAGCAATTTCATAGAGTGCTTCTCAGCTCTGTAAAGTGCAGTAATAATACTAATAATGTCATTCTCCAGGATGTTAGGAGACATGCTAGTTATTTTCACAGCACTTGATTCCAATTACCTTCCATTTTAATGGTCTGTTGTGCTTCGACATTGATGAAAGAAAGTTGGGAAAATGAGAACTGGGCTATGAAAACAATAAAAAAAAGGATGCGGTGCTCTGTTAGAGATTGTAGTGTGGGTCATCATCTCCATTGTCCTCTGTTTTTTGCAGATCGTGTGCTCCCATATAAAATAGGTAATAAATAAGAGTTCGATCTCTTTCCCCATCATGGGAGTACACACTGCTTCTCTGCTGTAATTACACTAAGTGGAAGAACTGCATTAGCTTCCTTTACTGGAAGCCAAAAAGAACTTACCTGGCAAAAGTGCCCTATCTGAGGAAGGTCTTAGGTCATCATGGGAATGACTGAGTAGCCAGAAACTGCATGCTTAAATACTGTGAACTGACCTTCAGGCCAAGTATACATTTTATTTATTAATTACTCAAAGCATGTCTCATTTCACATTTCCAATTAAAATGGATCATAAGAATTTCTGGAAGAAGCAGTGGCTAATAGAGGGTTTATTTGACTGAAAACTGACATCAACATCTAAAGAAGGCATGTCAGCCTATCATCAGTGAATTTAGAGCTCTTCCGTCCTGAAGCAGGCTTCTGAAATAGAATAGGTAAATCATTCTTTCAGAAAGCGTGCTTTCTCTCCTTCATGTGTAAAGGGAGTCTGGCCAATAACATGGCTGTGGGAATCTGAGTTACAGGTAAAAGGAATCCCACATCCCAAGGTTAGGGAAGAGGAGTGGAATCACAAGTAAAGTTGAATTAAATGGCTAATAAATTGCTTAACAGCCAAGAATTTGCTTTTAGATCTCTTTCCAGAGTAGTTCACTGACTTTATTTTTTTTAAACTAATTAATTGCACACACACACATTAGCCATGTCCATGTTTCACACAGTTGCCTATAGGCTCTGATGATGACTGTGTGCCCCACAGCAGGTCATCCAAGGTCAAGGCTACACTGAGTGCTTTGCTGCTGCTGTGTGCCTGCAGAGCCATACCAGCCAAGTGAATTCATCTTCTGTCCCAAAATGTGCACTTTGGCCTTAGTAGCTTTTTTTAGCCCCTTCAGTAGAACAAAATCCATGGCAAATCTGTAGTCGACATAACTGATTGCCCTAGAGGCTTCTGCTAGCGCAGCTACACTTCATCGCTTTCCTGCCTGACTTCACCATAGCAGCTTAAAAATTCCCATTTTGGAGCTGGTAGTCCAGGTTGGACAAAGAAATCTAAGGGATGAGTTGTGTCTCATTCTGTTTGATATGGTAGCACTGCACGCAGTGGCTCACAACACCAGTAGACCCAGTTCTGCAGAGTGGTGGTGTGGGAGAGCACTGCCTCTTCCCTTGTTTCAGTTATTTAGCAAGTTTGTTGGAAACATACCTATCAGCAGCCAGCAGCTTATGTGTGTGTGAAAATGTGGAAAGTTGCAAAAGTGAGAAATGCAAAGAAAGTCAACGCAGCTGCTTTGACCATGTGTTTGATCACCAGCCAAAAGCATCAGTCATGATGGAATCACTGTTAACTCAGTCCCCACAATCTGTTATTTGTCCACCAAAGCCAAGATAACTTCTAGTGTCCATTTTCTTGTATTTTTCAGATCAACTTTTTTAAGAAAGGAGCAGAGATGTTTTCCAAAAGAATGGACAGCTTTTTGTCATCCGTTTCAGACATGGTTCAAAGGTAATGCAGTACATTTGCTTCCTTTTGTCATTCCATCAAATTCTGAGTAATAGGACTTTAACCTTCAGCAGGTAACAGAGTGCCTTGTTTCTTCCTTATGAGATTCCTACCATGTTTGCATTGCACTGTTGGGCATATTTTGCTGAAGCAGCAAGTGGAAAGGAAGTATGTTTGTACATGCAAAGGAGAATGCTGTCAGTGCACTGCAGAGAGTGCTTGTGCAGTATAGTCAGGAACTATATACTGTAAAGTGTTCATATACTTTCTTACATCCCTGTGTCTCAACATGGACAAAAAAGCACGCAATTTGGGCTTGAAATGCGTTAACAGAATTAATACAGTAGAGCTAAATTGCATTCTGAGTTACTTGCTGGGTCGTCTGTAATAATACTGTGACAATAATCCATTAACATCTCAAATAAGGATTTAGAGCCTGTAGTGTTTGATGTTGTAGCTATACAAGGCTAACAAAACTCCTGGTCCTAGAGAACGTATTCATTGCATTCGGTATAAGCTGTATCAGTCCACTGAGTTCAACCTACTCTGGCTAAGTTCTTATTTCAATAAACTGACCCACTTTTGTGCTCCCAATTTCTTACCCCCACCCCCATCTTCTATTTGTAGTGAAGATTGACCTTTTCTTTGTGATTAAGTCCCTGTAAACGTAAACTTTACATTTAAAGTGCAATCATATTGGAACATTCAGCATTTATTTTAAATCAGCTGGAACACTAGACTGAGTCCTTCACATTATTGCTTCATTCCTTTTGTATTGGACTGTAGCCAAATCATTACTTATTCTGACTCTGGTGGCATTTTGAATAATGCATACTTGTTAATTTGAGAGCAGTGTTATAAGTAATTGTCCTGCATAGTAGATTCTTTCACTAAATAATTCCTTACTTCCTGTACCTTTAGACTTACTTATATATCTTTTCACAGTCACTTCTGAAATAAATCCTTCTGCAGCATTTATACAGGCTGGAGGACAGATTTAAACTCCCTCGAGATAGCGCCCTTTATTTAGTAAGGCTAGAGCATCTTGCTTGTGTCTTTCATGCACAGTGAGGATCCTGTCACTGGATCCTTATGAGAGAATAAGCTCTTATTTTCCATAGTCCAAAGGATTTGAATTCTGGATAGGACATGGTAGTAAATGGAAGCAAAAATAGGCTGCTCAGTTGTTTTTCTGAGTCTGTTTTTTTATGTTACAAGTCTGTCACACAGCAAAGCTTGGAAGTACAACTGAAATGTAACTAGTACAGGAGCGTGACATCTGCGGAAAACTCAGAAGAGAAGCTTGCAGAATCCTGAATGACACTGTGCAGCTTGGCATTTACTGATACAGGACATGGCTTCATGACTTAAGATTATGCAACCACTGAAAACTGTGCTGCCCACTCTTCTACTTCCTTAGTGCTGGGGGTCACAAGGCCTCAGTGAGTCAGATCTGCTTGCTAATCGAGCTAAAGGGTTTTTATTTGTCAGATTTCTTTTCTTGGAACCACAAGCTGATGATAGCTATTGTGCAGGTACAGAATTCCAGCAGCGATGTAGTCTTGCATGTTTTTAAGCTGACTGTGAAACCTGAGTCTCATATTTAACAGTATTTTCATTTATTCAGTGAGTATTGCTAACAGCATAAAAACACTGTAAGAGAAGATGCATCACTAAAATATTCTCAGTAACCAAGTGGTCTGATTGCCACAAATGCATAGAACTTCAGAATTACCAGTTTTTCTCTCCTTTCTACCATGGAGATGGGATAAACATGCCTTAGGAAGAGTAACCCAGTCTTGGCAACCATGAAGATGCTAAGGGCAGTTTTATTGGAAGCAGTTTGCAACAAAAATGTCTGATTGAAGGATTTCATTGAAGTAGCCCTTATGTAAAAAACTGCCAGCACTGTTCCATTTTATTTCAAAGTGGAATTCAAATAATTCTTACTCTGACAGTTAACGATAACGTTGAAAGGGTACTAGCTTGCAAAATATGGTCTAATTTAATTCAGATCTGATGATACGACTCAGCCTCTCATATGACTTGGCTAGACACACACAGCTGTTCTCATTTTGGAGGTGATGTGGGAGCTTAGGAAGTCTCAGCTTTCTGAACAGGCAGAAAAGTTGGAAATAAGCTTAACATGAAACAGGCTAACAGCATGATGCAAGAACCCTTCTTCTGGCCAGTCAGATGCTGCTTAGTCCTGGTTTAAATGCAGTATTATGTCTCCAGATTACTTCAACAGTTACAGGATATCACCAACTTCTGCAAAAGACTGGGGTGAAGACTGGAGAAGAAATACATGTACTTTTCCACAGGTTTTTTGCCACTGTCAGAGACAGGACTACATGGATCTCTGGTCCTGCTGTGTACAGTCTGTTATGTGCTCATGTTCTTCAAAAGGTTTAACCACGTGGGCAGGCAGTAGGCAGAAAATTGCTTATTGCTTAGGCGCAGGTATTGGGGACTTCCTGAGGTATGCAATGTCAAGTATTCTTTTGTTTCCACCCCATGAGTTTTGCCAGTAGCCTGGATGCAGTTAATAACTCCTTGAGTTTGGAAAAGTTAAGAAATCAAGTATTTGCTAGTGTTGTTTCTCCAAAAGTCAAAGAACAGCCACTGCAGTATGGAACTCAAGAGGTCAGTCTACTCTCCTGCTGTGAGAGCAGGGTCAGCTAGAGCAGGGTGCTCAGCATTGTGTCCAGTCACATTCTGAGCACCTCTGTCTCCCTCTCATGCATGGTGCACACAATATCTGGTTACAGCTTGAGCCCATTGTCTTTCATCCTATCACTCTGTATTCCAGTAAGCATCTTAGCTACTACCCTTCCTATCAGGTTAAGCTAGCAGTGAGGCACTCCCTCCTCCCCCAGGGCCTTGATTCCAAGAGGCTGAAAAGCAATTCCAGCAGCTTCTTCTCAGGCCACGTGTTCTGGCCTCCTGGCCATCTTGGTGGCTTTTCACTTGACTTTCGTTTCTGTCTTTCGTGTGCTGGGGCACCAAAACTAGACACAGTGCTTCTGCTGGAGTTTCACCACTGCTGAGCAGGGGGGAATAATTCCTTTCTCTGACCTGCTTGCTATGCTCTTGCTCATGTAGCCCAGGATGTGGCTGTCCTTTTTTTGCCACAAGGGCATGGTGCTGACTCATGTTCAACTTGTCCTCTAGGACCCCAGGGCCTTTGCTGCAAGTTATTTTCTATCCAGATGCCTCCCATCCTTTACAGTTGCATGGGGTTATTCCATCCCAGCAGGACTTTATATTTTTCCTTTCTGAACTCCATGAAGCTCCTGTCTGCCCATTTCTGCAGTATGTCAAGGTTCTTCTGAACCCTCCACTCTCCCATATCTGTCAATCAGTCTTCCCAGTTTATTGTCATCTGCTCACATGGGTTGTCCAGCTCTTATTAAAGACTGTAAACCTGAAAGCCTCAGTATTGACCCATGAGGAACATCACTAATAGCTGGGTACTGGTTGGGCTTCATCTTGCTGATTACAACCCTTTGAGCTCCGCAGCCCAGATGTGTTTTCTATCCATCTTGTAGTTGACTTCTCCAGCTTGTATTTCACTAATTTGGCAATAAGGATACTATGCAAGACTGTGTGAAAGGTCTTCCTGAAGTCAAGTGAAACAGCATGCACTGCTCTTCTCCTGTCCACCAAGCTAGTCGTTGCATCACAGATGGCAATCAGGATGTCAGGCTTGATTTGCCCTTGGTAAATCTGCACTGGCTGTTGCCTTCCCAAAGATTCTGTATCTCGACTGGTATTTTTGTTCATTTTGACTTAAGAGATGGTATAAATTGACTAATGATGGCTTTGGATTTCTTCTTGTGTTGTTTTGGGTTTTTTTTTCCAGCATACAGGGAGAGTTGGATGCCGAAGCTGAAAAAATGAGGGTATCCCAACAGGATTTAATTGCAGTTAATGAATCGGTTTACACCCCAGATTCTGATGTAACTTCACCTGCTATCAATAGAAATCTCATCCAGAAGGCTGGCTACCTTAATCTTAGAAAGTAAGAACTCTTGTTACTTGCTGGTTTGTTTAGTTTCTAACTAGCTGCTACATTTTTTTAGGTTGTAAAGACTCCTCAGGTAATGATGTTTGAAGCTCCTGAATCACTGTGGAGGCTGTACTTTTCAGCTCCGAAGTATCTCTCTCATCTTTGGAAGTGTGTTTTAGAAGCTAAATTTGGGGCATTTGAGACTGTTTTCCTCAAAACAGAGTTTACTTCTCGTTGAATTCACCTACAGGGGTGATGCCCTGCATTGAAGTGGCTAAAAACTGATGGAGCTGGGTTCAGATTGTTCCAGTTCTTAGGGCTAAAGAAAACAGTGTTTACAGAAATACAGGCTTTCATAAGCACTCTCCTTTCCATAACTAAAGGCTTTATAGACAATGCAAGTGCATAACTTTGAATGTACACCATACATGGGGTTACATCTGCAGATTTTCCAAAGAAAATCTTCTATCAGCTTCCTCAGGAGCTTTGTATGTTGGTGCCATCTAGTAACCCTGTTTTTGTATTAAATATCAGTTCATTTTATTTGGCTAGTAATTGTTTTTTGTGTGAGTAGACATTTATTAATTTCTTGTAGCATTCTAAGAGCTGGATTACAGCATAATAGGACTCCATAGGTAGAAAGAAGATGGACTTGGAGACAACACTTGCAGAAGATACTTTTTTTTTTTTTTAATGATGTTTTTTTGTGCTGAAATTGCTGCTCTTCAGATTGCATTTCTTTTTTTCCTTATCCAGCTTAATAGTATTTCGTGTCAGTTACTCAATAATTCTTTTTACTCCTTAATTAGGAGATACTGCAGAGAATGTTTTTAACTTGGGATGTTGGGAATTAGTTTAAGTTTCCAGCTTTCATTAAGGATTAGTCTCTGCTAGGAATAGGTGAGGTGCTGCTTTTACTTATCAGAGACTCATCATAAAAAAAAAAATCCCAGGGTTGGACATAAAGTTCAGATTAGTGTCAGGATCTGTTTGCAGTTTCACGTATGTTTGGAGTGATTTCTAAATAGCCATGAGTCTTTATCACTGCATCTTCTCTTTAGTAAAACAGGTCTGGTGACTACAACTTGGGAAAGGCTGTATTTCTTCACTCAAGGTGGCAACTTGATGTGTCAGCCAAGGGGAGCAGTAGCCGGAGGATTGATTCAGGACCTGGACAACTGCTCTGTTATGGCTGTAGACTGCGAAGACAGAAGATACTGCTTTCAGATCACTACTCCTACAGGCAAAGTGTATGAGACAGGTTTTGTTTGAGGACAGCCAGTCACACCTACCCGTTCAGCTGCTGTTTCATGTAAAACATGCTTGCTATAATAGTAAGCCTTTTTGGGTTTCCAGAAGGGTGTTTCCAAATGAAAAGCATGTTCCTTCCCATCCTCCCCCACAACTGCTTGAACAGCATATGCGGTATCCTTTAGCTGCAGCTTATTCCTGAATTTTGTTCTTTTGATGGTTAATAGATACAAACCTTGGTGACATTATTGTAAGACCTGGAGTCAAACTGTCCTGGAGTCCACTGTTAGCACTGATAAACTGTTTTTATATTTTAGGGGTATAACCCTTCAAGCAGAAAGCAAGAAAGAATATGAGGAGGTAACATATTTTCTTAATGTTGTTGGTTTTGTATACAAGTGAGCTTGAAGAGTTCAATGTCATCTTTCTCTTCTAGTGGATATGTGCCATCAACAACATCTCCAGGCAGATCTATCTCACTGACAATCCAGAGGTGGGAGCTTGTTTCCATCTTTCAGTCCATTCCTTCCAACTCGCTTTCCCATTGTTCTTTATGTGGCAACATAAAGTACATGTGTCAAAGAGCTGTCGTGTCTTGTTTCCATAGGCAGCTGCAATCAAGTTAAATCAGACAGCTCTACAAGCAGTGACTCCCATTACCAGCTTTGGGAAGAAACATGAAGTTCGCCACCCCAGGTAACATTCTCACTTGCACAGCCTAGAGCCCAGGTGCTCAGAAATGCCCTTTCTACAGGGCAAAAGGCACCCAGTAGAAAGCCCTATGTCGGCTGTGCCTTTAGAACCTTGTGTGTTCCAGTAGATTCCTCTGCTTCTGGTGTTTCCTTCTGAAGCTGGAAGAGATGCTCCATGTTGAGGGTAGCCTCCTGGGGGTTGCCAGTGGGATTTTGCTGGTTTTTTAGGGACAAACAATGCTATAGGTCTAAGTGCTTTGCTGTAAGGGAATGACTTGTAATGTAGGTAATACAGCAGAGTCCTCAATATACGTTGAAGTAAGTATATTCTTGTGTATTGCCTCAAGCAGTTCCTGTCAGTCACAGGAACATGCTTTACGCTGTCATCAGAATAATTCCTGTTGTTCTTTTGTGCTCATTCAGCAATAACCCTCCCAACAATATGCCTGGGGAACCAGTAAAGCTCCCCTCCTTCAAAAATTGTTAATAATGCTCTAGGATATTCAACATATGTATTTATATATAATTTCTTTGTGTCCATGTGATCGTGGCATCTTGCTCAGTGGGAATTCTTCATCATCAGAAATGGCTTTCAAGCCCAGTGCTGGACTGAAATCCAGCTTTCAAGAGCAGTGTGATAAATAAAATAAGGCAAGTTTGTGTTACACTGACTTCAACATGAAGAGATTTTTCTGCAAGTTTTGTTAGAAAATTTTAAATTCTTACTTAAATATTTACTTGTAGAAATTCAAACCTTTTCCAGCTTTTTTACTTCTCTCAGGCCAATGCCTTTGCTATGATTTATGATTCCCTTTATTATGATTGCTTACAGATTCCAAAGATTCTCGATATCCAGGGGGAATGCCAGTCAGTTTCTTTCTAATTTTATTCACAGTGCAGCTCCTCTATTTATAAATAGAAGAGTATTGCCATCCATTTCACTGAGCAAAGGGAACAGCTATTTCATTGACAGCTAATCTCCAGAGCCACTTTCACATCTGTATGCAACCAGAAACAGAAGACATGTAGTGATGTGTATATAGTTAAGCCTTCTGTAGCTGTGGGAAACTTGGGATTTCATTCTCTTTGAGGAAAGGTGCAGGAAGAAATCAGCCCCAGTGTGTAATAATACTTCATAGCTGTTGCATTGTGACTAGCCTGTGGCCAAGGAAGGTCTTAAAAAGATGTCAGGATTACCATTTGCACCTGCAGGCACAAGTGCAGGTCTCTGCTGTTTGAGCTGATGGCGCTGCTAGGAATATGGCCACTGGAGGGCCCGGAGGCCAACAGCAGCCTACCGCCGAAGCCAGCCCGCACTCAGCTTTGATCTGCAGTTAGGTTTAATATGCCAGCATTTACATTTGTCCTAAACAATTTTAGGTACAAGAGAGATTTGATTAGAGTCCTTAGTAACAGGTAAATACTTTTATTTAAGTTTATGGATAGTGGTTCAATCCCGCTTTGGGTTTTTGAATAATCTTGTCTCCCTCCCAGAGCAAAGATTGATCACTGGTTGACTGAAACAATTTTTTTTTCCCATTTTCATTTTAGCCAGAATGTAAAGAATATGGAAAACGATAAAATAATTCCCAGTGAATCAGCCAGCATTCAAGACTCCACACAACTCATTGCTCCTGGAACACCGATTCAGTTTGATATCGTATTGCCTGCCATGGAATTCCTGGACCAGAACAGAGGTGGCAGGTATAGCCAGAGACAGTGATCGATCACCTTAACAGAGTGATTTCAGGGGAGACAATTAGGTATTGCAGCATGTGTGTGCTGGCCAGAATCTGTAATTACAGCTTTTGTTCTTACTTTGTAGGCGTGCAAACCCATTTGGGGAGTCTGAAGACAGCAGCAAAGATGAAGAGGAAGGTGAGCGCTTCATTTTTCCAGATAAAATTAGGCCAACCTGGCCTTGAACATTGCCAGAGATGGGGCAATCACAGCTTTCTCTGGGCAACCTGTGCCAGTGTCTCGCCACCCTCATAGTGAAGAACTTCCTTCTAACATCTAATATAAATCTGGCTTCTGTCAGTTTAAAGCCATTCCCCCTTGTACTATCACCACATGTCCTTGTAAATAGTGCTTCTCCAGACTTCTTGTAGGTCCCTTTAGGTACTGGAAGCTGCTCTAAGGTCTCCCCGGAGCCTTTCCTTCTCCAGGCTGAACAAGCCTTAACAGCTGTATGTGCTACCCCAGTGAAAGGTGGGATGGCTGCAAGCTGCCTGGCAGCAGAGTAGCTGTGACAAGCACTTCTGCAATGTCCACAGCAGTGCCCTACTCCACTGCAGCCCACCAAAGAGAGTGCAGCACCCAAGTGACTACCCTGCATGTCATGCTGCACACGTGGATTAGTGTTGCTCAGCTCAGGCTGCTATATATCAGTCTTTGTGGTGTCTTGTGCAATGGAGACATAGCTGTTGCAGCCTTTGAACCATTACCTTCAGCCGGATTTAT